GGCCCTCTGGAAGCCTTTTCAGAAGCAGCGTCAAAACTATGTAAGAACAACAGTTTTCAAGTCGATGCTGGAGTATGTTTTCACTTTATGAGGATGTCCCTAGCGAAATCGCTATTTTCGGAAGTCCCCCAATCGTTCTGACAGCCATCTTGACGTGCTTGTTGGCTTGTCATTTCGTCATCTTGAGGTACTTCGAGAACGATATCAAGACGACGTTGAGGACATCTCATTTTGTTGAGGATGTCCCTAGCGAAATGCAAATTTTCTGCCGTGCTCTTCGTTCTGGTCCGCCGTGCTGCCGCTCGTTTTCTCAGGATGTCCCTAGCGAAATCGCAATTCTTAACAGAAGAGTTAGTTAAAGACTTCAGTCGTCATTTCATTTTTTCGAGTATGTCCCGAGCAAAACGCAAATGATCACAGACGGCGAAATTTCGCTGTCATCAATTTTGTCGAGGATGTCTCGAGCGAAACGCTTCTTTTTGTTAAACGCGATGTCGCGAAGATCTCATTTTTGTGAGGATGTCACACGTAAAATCGCCATCCCGAAGAATCCGCTAAGCCTGGTACACCGTGCGGCCCGCCACCCCCTGCAGTTAAGAGATCTCTTGCTGACATGAGGAGGATTCAGCCAAAACGTCCAGCTCGCTTCTCGTTTCTCGAAGACGCTTCCCGTCATCAGCCGACCACTTGGGGTTCATCAGCGTGTGAGGTGCTTCCCCCTCCCCAAACCCATCCCCCGGGACCCCTGTCCGGTCGATTTGAAGGGGGGGAGTCCCCCCGGGGACCGTCCGAACGCGACGTGGGGGACGGGGGGCCCCAAAACGGGCCAAGCGGGCCCGAAGAGGGCCCCCGGACTGTCCAGGAGGGGCACGAGTCGCCGAAAGATAGCGCCAAGGCGCCCGAGGTTGGCCCCAGACGGCCCCAGATGCCCCCAGGACGTTTCAAGAAGTCGCCACGGTGCGTTCCAAGATGCCTTCAAGGAGCAAAAATCGTCCCGCTCCCTAGGAAAACATGCATGTTTAACACGTTCGCCTCTTGTGCTCTCACGAGGCCCACCCAGGTCGAAGCGGCTTTCAAGATCGACCGAAGACGGGCCAGGAGGCCCCCAAGAGGGCTCCAAAACGGCACACGAGGGCCCCAAGACGGCCCCAGAAGTCTCCAAGACGGCCGAGGAGGCCCCGAGGACGACCCGAAAGGGAGGTCTAGACGGGGAGCCCGAACGGACCTTTCTAGCTCCCGTCCCAAGATACACCTAAGGGCCCCCAAACAGGTTCCAACAGGCCCCCAGAAAACGCCCAAAGGGCTCCAAAAAAGCTCCCAGACGCCGCCAGGAAGCCTCCAGCAGGTTCAACGACTGCCTCCATGACGCTCCCGACACTCCTCCCACGCGACCCCACCAGCCAACCGAACGGCGTCAAACCCGCAACCCAGGCACGGCGGCGGGGTGTGCCCAAGGCCATGCGAGAATCATCCTTCTGGCATTTTGGATGACGCCCATCGTCTGCAAACGTGGGTTCTCGCCCGATGCCCAATGCGTGCACGGCGAGCACTACTGAAGGCCATTCGATAATCGTTCGTCGTGTGTTTTGACAGATTTTTGATTTTTGTTTTTTTTTTTTTTTTGATTTGCGCGCGGGTGAACGTCTGCCGAACACTCCTGCTCCGACGAGGAGCGAAGGGGCCCGAAGGGGACCGAAAAGGGAACGAGGGACGGACCCAGGAACCCAGACAGAGACGAGGCGGAGGGCCTCGACCGACAAACAGGGGCACGAAACCTCGAGGGCCCGAATGCACCTGCAATTCAAAGATCATCCTCGGACGTGTGGTATCGCCAACGCTGGACAATCTATTATATCAAACGGGGCGTCAACTAGAGAGAGATCTCAAGACAGCCTCCACATCCTCCATTCCTCCCGTACTCGTACACCCCCCCCCCCCCCCCCCACACCCAATCGCAGAGCAAGGACAGGAGTGAGGGGAGGGCGGGAGGACAGCTCAGACAGCCCGCTTCCCGCGGTTGACACGTAGAGCGGGCCGATCAAGATGGTCATCATCGTCTGGTGGCCGGAACGAGTTCGGCAGGAAGTGGAACGGCGTTGCCTGAGCAGCGTGTGCTCTGAGCCAGGCACGTGCCACGGCATCCCGAGCATTCCGCCAATCAGCACCAGGAACGACGGCGCGAGGTCGACGATGCACGCGAACAGCTTGACCAGGTGCTCTGAGCCAGACGTGCGCCACGGCATCACGAGCACTCCACCAAGCAGCACCAGGGACAACGACGAGAGTAGAAGGGCCAGACTCGGCCGTCACAGCCTCCTTCTGGAAGTCGACGTCGAGACGAAAGCGTACAGGTACAGCAGGCGCAGCTTGAAGACCAGCAGGCTCTCGATGAGGAAAGAGTTTACCAGGGTCTCGAGGGCCGGCAGGCTCTCGAAGACCAGCAGGCTCACGAAGATCAGCAGGCCCTCGATGAGGAGGAACATCATGAAGACCAGCAGGCTCTCGATGAGCAGCAGGAACATCATGGAGACCAGCGGGTTCTCCACGAAAGTTGTATAGACCCACTTCAGGAGGATCCAAATGACCAGGAAATTCGAAACGACACGGCTCAGGAAGGTCGTCAGCAGGAACAGCTTGAAGATCATAAGGTTCTCGGCGAGCAGCGAGTTTTCCAGGCTCCAGACCAGCAGGCACTCGAAGACCAGCAGGCTCTCGATGACCAGCAGGCTCTCGAGGAGCAGGAACATCGGGAGCGTCACCATGATGTAAATCAGGAAGGTCGTCGTAGCGGCTCGCATCTGTGGCTGGCGGTGCCCAGCAACCAGGAGCGAGCTCTGCGTTCACATGACCAGGAAGTCGGGGCTGGAAGGGATCGGCCTCGGCGTTGAGCGGAAAGGCCATCATCTTCAGCGTCGACTCGAGGACAACGGCCCGAACAGCCGCAGGCGGCGGCGGCATCCCGCTCGCGCCTGGCGGCGGGGCGTGGCGGCACCAGCTGCCAGTCTCCAGGGCGTCAATGGTATCCTGGAGCTCCGCGTCGTCGAGCCCCACCAGGCGGGCCGCCGCGATCGCGGCGCCCAGCGTGGGAATGTGGCCGCCCAGGCGATCTCCAAGGCGCCAGTGGGCGTCGAGGGCGACACGGAGGCCACGCAACCGGTAGGACATAGCGGCGGCCCTCGTCTGCCCGAGCTGCGCCCTCCGTTCGCGTCGAAGGCGCCGAGCCAGGGTCCGAGCACTCGCCGCAGCCCAGGCTTTGCCGCCAGCAGTGGCAGCACGAGACATTGCGGCCGCTTGCGCGCATGCGCCTGGAGCAGGCGCGCTGGCGAGGGTCTCCCGAAGCGCGGCTCGCTTGAGCCAAAATGGCTACGGATGTTTTTTTGTTTTGACAGTGTTTTGACAGATGCCCCCCGTCTGTATACGTGGTTTCACGCTCTGTTCCCCACGCGCGCACGGCGAATACTGAGAATGTTCTCCCAAAATGCCCCGAATAGGCCCCCAAGAGGCCCCCATGTAAAGCCCCAAAAGAGCTCCAAGAAACTCCCAAAAGGCGCACAAGAAGCCATCAGGAGCAACACGCAACAAGCGCCAGTTCCCCACGGGGTCGGCAGTGTGGCGTAAGCCCAAGAATAAGAAGAGGCGCCATGAAATCTGGGGCGGTATCATGGCCCCCACCTTGACATCCACCCCCCCTCGTCGTCACCCCCTCTTGGCCGACCCGATTAGTCTTGCTGCTGCTGCTGAAACGCGCCGGGTTTGTCTTAATTCAGTTTCCAACTTCCCGCCCTCGACTCGACCAACACGTTATCAAACCAGCGGCGCCCCAGAAAGTGGGCGTCAGACGGGCGGCAATGTGATGCCAACACGCGCTTTCAAAAACTCATGAGACGCAGTGGAAGCAGGCAGAAAGTGGGCAGATGGGCCAAAGGCCGATCCCAGACCCGAAACCGCAACAACCGCACATCTCCAGAACGCACAGCACAGAAACGAAGGCGACAACAAACAATCAACAAAGCTCGACCCTCTGCTTCTGTTGCTGGTGTGGGCTACAGAAGGGGCGTTGACCTAAGGAATCCGAAATAAGGAACGAGGCCTCTTTTTTCCCATAAGTTTAACTTCGATTTCCCATCGAAACCCTAAGCAAAACCAAAGGCGAACTGCAAAACAACTAAGGAACACCTCCCCAACGAAAAGGGTTCCTTCCTCGGTGCCCCGACTGTACTTACACCCTGACGTGGCTGCCCGAGGGACCCCGCCGGCCAGGACTCGGGGAGGGGCGGGGCGTGCCGAGCACGCCCCAGGCCAGATTGCCTCGGCCGGAGAAGCGCCTCTCCCTGGCGAGATGGCACGGGCTTCGGAGAGGGCCTCGGGGAACCTCGCGGCGGCGCTGACCCGACTGCCCCCTTAGGGAGCCCACAAAGGACGTACGCGCCCAGCGGTATACGAACACTTGCTCAATGCGTGCTCTCGAATCCAGCGTGTATTCATGTACGTGTACGTCCTTCTTTCGCTCCTGACCCCTGGTGTACTGTGAACTCGCCGCATGCCCCGCGTGCTTCAGATTCTGGACCCCAGTGGCAGGGCGACGACGGGGAAGAGGAGGAGGGGGGAGGAGGAGGAACAGGAGGAAGCCCAGGAGGAGGAGGAACAGGAGGAAGCCCAGGAGCCCAGTGGCAGGACGAGCGACGAACACACTTCCATACCCATAGGAGGGCGGGACACTCACTATGGGCATGCTGGGTGCGCGTTGTCGGACCCCGGGGGAGGCTGCCGCTCGGACGGGGACCCCCGTCCGACAGCACGCACCCATAGCCCGTCCGACAGCACGCACCCATAGCCCCCTCCGTTTCCCCCTTCTGGGCCATTATGGGTGCGTGCTGTTCGCCTGTCAGTATCACAGGATTGCCCCCCCACCCGCCTGCCCCGACTGCTGGCGGACAAGCTCCCCCGCACCCTTCGCCAGACCCCGGTGGGCGCGCGGGGGCAGGAGCTGCGGAGGCCGCCTCGCTGGTCAACGGCCCGACGGAGACCTCCGAGGCAGCCTGCGCGATGGCGCGGCAGCGCTTCAACCCTTTTTCTCCCTTCTCCTCCTCCTCCGACTTCTCCTCCATCTCCTCCTCCTCCATCTCCTCCATCTCCTCCTCCTCCTCCTCCTCCTCCTCCTCCTCCTCCTCCTCCTCCTCCTCCTCCTCCTCCTCCTCCTCCTCTTCCTCGTCCTCATCCCCCGTCCTCGTGCTCCTGGTCCTCCTCACTATCCTCTCTCCTCCTTGTCCTCGCCGCCCGCGGCCTTGGCAGACCCGGCGACTCTACGGGGGCGTCCCGCGACCAGGCCGTCCCTTCCCTGCAGCCCTGGGCCAGCCTCCCGCTGAAATCGGCCCAAGAGGTCGGTCCCGATCGGGCGGGCGCGGGAGACGCCACAAGGCGCACGCCACTGCCGCCACCGCTCTCTTCCCGAGCCCTTCCTCGGCCTGGGCTCCGCCTGGGGCGGGCCCCCGGCAGAGCAGCTCAGGAGGAAGGGTGGAGGAGGGTTCGAGAGAGAACCGAATGGCGGAGGCGACGGGCGCACGGCTGCGGGGCGCGTGCCCACCTGGCCTCCCCGTTCGGCGCACGCGCGCGCGCGCCCGCCGAAGGCACGCGGCGGGGGAGAACGGCATGTTGCGTCCTCGGGGGGCCCTGTCTGTCCCGTCGCGGCCCTGTGCGCGTCGAGCTCGTGCGGGACCCATGACAGACACGCCGAATCCGTGTCGCACCCGCGTCGAATCGACGCCACAAAAAACCGCGTCGCGTCCGCATCGAGCCCGCGTCGGGCACGGGGATGGACACCGCTGTTTGGGGCAGGCGAGGCCCCCCCACGGTGCAACGCAGAGAAAGGGGCCTGAAGGAACAGGCCCAGCCAGCCGGGGGGATATCGGGCGGTGGTGGTGGCGGGCGGCGGCATGGCTCGGGAGGAGGAGGAGGGGGAAGAAGGAGGAAGGAGAAGGAATAGGAGAAGGAGGAGGAGGAGGAGGAGGAGGAGGAGGAGGAGGAGGAGGATGGGGGAGAGGAGGAGGGAGGAGGAGGAGGAGGAGGAGGAGGAGGAGGAGGAGAAGGAGGAGGAGGAGGAGGAGGAGGAGGAGGAGGAGGAGGACTTTCCACAGGACTAGGAGGAGGAGGAGGAGGAGGAGGAGAAGGAGGAGGAGGAGGAGGAGGAAGGGGGAGGAGGAAGGGGGAGAGGAGGGATAGGGATAGGGATAGGAGGAGGAGGAGGAGGGGGATGGAGGAGGGCGGAGGCAGCAGCTGGACGCCGCTGCGTTTGCCAACGCCGCCCGCGGCCGCTCTGGCGCGCGCGGCGGGCCCGGAGCTCAGCGCCGACGGCGCTGCGGACGAACGGGCAGCCGTTCTGGCAGTAGGGTTAGGTCAGGGCTGTCCCCCTACAGGGGGAGTGTGGGCGAGGAACTAAAAATACTAAAACATGCCCTCACATTCAAAAGTATAGAAATAATAATCCCACGACTATTTTTAATGTGTTGACCAGTTTTTGAATTTTTCCCTGTAGAGGGACAGGCCCGACTTAACAGTAGGGGGCCCGACCACGGGAAAGATTCCACAAGAAACCCAATCCTGAGACCCCATGACGTCCTCTGGTTTTTCGTGTGGGAGCGTCGCTCTTTCCACAGCAGAGCCATCGCGACCCAAGAAGCCCAGGGCACCCTGAAGGCGAGCAGGGCGTTTCGTGGCTTGGGTCCCCACTGCGCACAAGACACGCGAAAGGCCCGCGGCCCGTCGGCCCCATTGCAGTCGAACTGCAAGTCGAAATGCCCTTCGAAATGCGAATCCAACCGCGAGATGTCCCCCCCCGAACCAGAAAGAACTCCTCACCACCCGAAGCGTGGCCTGTGAGGCAGTCCGAGACCCTCGGGCGGACGGCCGAAAGCCAGGCAGCCCGAAAGCCAGGCCCCTGGAGCGCCTGGAGGCAGCCAGTCGACTCCACCCCTCTGGGCTGCTGGCGGAGAGGTCGCATCGAGCCAGGAGCAAGACGAAGCCAGGACGAGGATGCATTCGGGTGAGGAGAAGTCGAGAACCTCTGAGATCCGGCGGCTCTGGAGGATGTGTCGGGCGCCGCGCCCCTCTAGGAGCCTTCCCGCATGCCCTGGAGCGGATGCCTCCTCGTCCCCGCCCCGTCCGAAGAAGACCCCACCCTTGGCCTCTCGCACGGCCAGGCCAGGCCGCCCCCTAGGAGAACGGCGGGCGGGCTGGCACGGTTGGCACCTGATCCACGGGGGCCCACGTGGCCCCCGGCGCTGTCCGATGTGGGCCTGATCTTTGGTCCGGACGTGGAGCGCCTCTGGGGCTGGCTTTGGACCAGCTTCGCCCCCATCGCGAGGGAGACGAGCAGAGCGGGGAGGGGGAGGAGCAGCCGAAAAGGGCGAGGAGGAGCAGGAGGCAGGGCCGGCCGCAGCCCGAGTGCAGGAGAAGCTCGTTCCAGTGCCGCCGCCCTGGGCTCCCACGGACAGGCAGCGAAGACACGGAGGGGGTGAGAAGCGCCGGCGAGCGAGGGAGCAGGGAACGAGAGTCTCCTCCTCCTCCTTCTCCTCCTCCTCCTCCTCCTCCTCCTCCTCCAACCTCCTCCTCCTCCTCCTCCTCCTCCTCCTCCTCCTCCTCCTCCTCGCCAAGCGCCGCACGGCCAGCTCACACGCCCCGACCGGCGAAACAAAACATAAAAAAACGCACTGGCCGCGCCCAAAGGCCGACACCACAGGAGCCTCACCCCCGAAGGGCGCTGGAGCCTCGAATGGACCCCTCCGTCCCAGCAGCGGTGGCCGCGCCTGTGGGGGTCGACGCCCTGGGAGCCTCCCCCCCTGGACCCCCACGGGGAGCGTCTTGCTCGTGCATCGACGTCTTGGATGCATCTGAGGCCTGACTGGAGCGGCCAAGAGGGTGAATAAAAACGGTCGGCTCTCGGCCACTCGGAGAAAACTCCCGTCGCAGAGGGGCGCACACCCTCTCGCCCGCGCCGCGCGCCTGCTGCCGGCTCGGAGCTCCTCTGGGCGGGGCCGTGCGAGCCACGAGCGACTTGCACGACGTGGGCCCCGGCCCCCGCGCCCTCCGCGCCTGCCCTCGCTGCCGCTCCACCAGAGAAGACTCGGTTTGGCACCGTGGCCCGAGGCGCATCGCCCCCACGGCGCTTCGGAACACTATCGGACCACCCCAACCCAACCCGAAGGCCCGAATCTCGGGTCGGGGGGGGTAAGGGTTCCACATGTGTCTGTTCGACGTTTCCCGACCCCCCCCCCCCACTGGAAATCGAGGGTAAATCTGAGCCTCCGGGTTGGGTTGGGGGTGGTTTGGTGGGTGGTGAACGTCTGCGCCGCCCTCAGAAGACAGGAGCCCGAGCAATGTCCTGCCATGACCCCGGAGAGGTCACAGGCACCGAAATGCAATGGACACGGCATGCGGCTGCCAAGCACCCCCCCATACAGCTCGAGAGTTCCAAGCAGCGCGAGGCCCTCCCGAATGAGCGCGCGGACGACCCATGGCCTGAAGGCGTCATCTGAACTCGTCGGGGGACGTCAATGGTCACGGAACAGGCTCCAATGAGAGCGTACACTGCCCAGGGCGAGAACGAGACAGCCCAGCGACAGTTCTTGGAGGATTGCCAGTGGCGGTAAGGCCTGGTTCGCGCAAGTCTTGCCACTGCCATACTCGATGCAGGAGCCCGACAGCTCCTGGAGCGCGCCGGGACGACTGCCTGCTGACCCCACGGCTCTGCGCCGCCTCTCTCTCTCCTCGTCCCCTGCTGCAGCTCGAGCCGTCCGCGCTGACCTTCCTCCTCCTCCTCCTCCTCCTGCTCCTGCTCCTCCTCCTCCTCCTCCTCCTCCTCCTCCTCCTCCTCTTCCTCGGCGAGCGATGGGGGGGAGACGAGAAGGGGAAAGCCTTCTCAGAAGGCGGCGGGACTTCTCAGCAGCCCTCGCGCCTTCTGCGACACCTCTGGAGTCTTTGGGCAAGGCTCAAGAAACGCCTCCGACGGCCCGGGGGACCTCCGAGCCCCCTCTGAGAAGGCCCGCCTCTCCCCACGTTCCTCCCCGCGCTCCCCACCGATCTGCACACACTCCCTCCTCCCCTCCCGCAGCCTCCGCTCCAACACCATCCCTCCGCCGCCCGTCTCAGGAGGAGGAGGAGGAGGAGGAGGAGGAGGAGGAGGAGGAGGAGGAGAGGGAGGAGGAGGAGGAGGACGAGAAGGAGGAGGAGGAGGAGGAGGAAGAGGAGGAGGAGGAGGAGGCGAAGAGGAGGAGGAGGAGGAGGAGGAGGAGGAGGAGGATGGCGCCCCTGGGTCGCAGGGCACGGCATGCCATGCCTCACTGGAGAGCTGCCCCGGCTGCGGAGCCCACGCCTGGCGCCGTGCTGCGCCTCCTCGCCGGGTTGTGGGGAGGGCTGCGAGCTGCTCCGCGAGATTGAAGGGGCCCCAGGACACACAAATAAATACACACAAATCAAAGGATTCCCCATGCTTTCCAATAGATTCTGGAATTTTGTCTTCCCCCCCGCTCCCCATATTTTCCTATATATATATATATATATATATATATATATATATATTCCTCGGAGTCGACGATGAATTGTGTCTGTGCGTTTCTTTCCCTCCTGAGAGATGCACGCGGCCTGGGAGAGTTCCCGGCCTGGCCCAGAGAGCTGGTCCGAATGCTCCCCCCCACGCGGGACCGGACTTGCCCGCAGGGCTCAAGCGGGTCGCGCAGGCGGGTTGCGCATCCGGGGTTGCGGGTCGCACGTTGAATACGATGCACGTGCCCATGTGCATGCTTGCTCGCGTGCTCCGACCAGGAACATTTGGGGGAGCTGTGTTCCTTGCCCCCCCAGGGGAACACATCGCAATGAGCCCCCCCACTAAGGGGGTACGAACCACAACCCCCCCTTCCAATTGCCATCTCCATAACCTCTGCCATCCTCACACGTATCCATCCGCGCTATCGTCGCGCAGCCAGACGTCGCACGCAGTACCACCTGCCTAGCACCACTCCGGCATTCCCCCGCGGTTATCTGGGGATGGACAGAAAACCCTTTTGCAAAACGTGGTTTAGTGAAAAACGACCCCAGGCCCATATCGGGCGAGCGCGAGCCTGGAAAACGACGGCCACGGAGCCCTCTCGAGAACCGACAGCGGACGATGCACTACTCGACGTGTCAGGGTGGGGGTTCTGCCCAGCCCCGAGTGATGTGGAACCCACGTTGGTAGGAATCAGCACGTGTCCCCCACGTCAACCACCGCGGCCGGAGGCGCGAGCAGGAGTGTCCTCGTGTCCCGTGCGGGACGGGGAGGCGAGGACCAGGATCGCGAGGAGGAGCACGATGGCGAGCGGGGGCGAGGAAGGAGGAGCAGGCAGGAATGCAAGGATAAGGAGGATGCTAGAGGATGCTGTGGTTGAGGATGATCCGGTTCAACATAATGTCATGTTCTTTCTTTCATTGTTCTCTCTCTCTCTCATCTTCTCTGTGTCTCTGTGCCGTTTTTTTTTTTTTTTTTTGTTCTCTCTCTCTCTCTCTCTATATGTATATGTATACATATGTACATACATCTTCGAGCCGCCAAGTAATACACGACGGCGCCCTTCTGGGGCATCGTTGGAACCCCAGGAGCGAAGTATTGGAATTTCGTCGCAAATGCCTGGGTGCGATTGGAGGTCCTATTGGGCCGGCTGGATTGCTGTCCGGCGCCCCTCGGGAGCGACTTCGGGTCCCCGCTGAGTGCGCGAATTATGCAATATCTGCGTCCCCAAGGCCATAATACATGGTAAATTACCGATATGTGCGTCACCGAGGCCATAAACCAATGTAGCGTACGCCGTACTCGCGTCCCCGAAGCCCAAATCCATTGCAACTTACACACACTCGCGTCCCCGAGGCCACGATCCCTAGAAACTTGCGCCATGCTTGCTCCTCGAAGCCATACTGTCTGGTAGTCCACACAAATTTCGCGTCCTCGAGACCGGACGCGACATCTGCATCATCGAGCCCACGGCCCCTTGGTAATTAAATTCGACTCGCGTCACCAAGGTGAAGATCCCCCATAAGTTATACAATATCCGTGTCCCCGAGGCGACGAGCCCCCAGAGATTACACAATACTCGCGTCCTCGAAATCGTAAAGCATTTATAATTGCAGAACTTCTTTTTCACCGAAGCCACGATCCCTTGTAAATCATGCAGCACTCGCGTTCCCGAAGCCACGGACCCTCGTAATCTATACAAGATTCGCGCCTCAAGGCAACGATCCCCATACATTATACAAGAGTCGCGCCCCCGAGGCCACAATCACACGTAAGCCCCACCAGCCCTCTGGGCGTTGGTGGTCTAGAGCGTTGCCTCTTCCACATCCCTTCTTCCCTTTTCGGGGAGGGGTGCACCCCTCCCCCTACCCCCTCCCCTGGACCTGGACGGGGCGCCCCGCGAGCGGTCAGGGCGTCCAAGATGGCCCCAAGAGGACATCAGAGAGCCAAAGATAAGCTCCAAGATGGCTCAAGATAGCGCAAGGTGCCTCGAGATGGCTCACAAGATGCTCCAAGACGCCCAAAGACTGCTCCAAGACGGCTCTAAAGTACCAAAAGAGCTCCCCAAGGATGCCGCCAAGAGGCCAAAATCCTTGAAAAACCTTTGGAACATCAATGCTGTGTGTTTTCTCGCCTGTTCGCTTCCAATTGCCAGTCGAGGCCCTCAGATAGCTCCAAGATGGCCCAAGAGAGCCCTAAGAGAGGCCCAAGGGAGCCCCAAGAACGCCTAAGAGCGCTCCAAGAGCGCCGCAAGAACGCTCAAAAAGGGGACTTGGGGAGCTCCCGAGGGGCGACGCTAATAAAGGAAGCCCCCTTCGTTGATCGATGTCCTCCGAGAAGCGCCCAGGAGGCCCCAGGAGGTCCCAAGATGGCCCCAGGATGGCCCCAAGAGGCCTCCAGGAGGCCCCCAAGAGGACCCCAAGCGGCCCCAAGAGCCCACCCCCCCGAGGCACTGCAGACGCCCAAGAGCCCCCCAGGACCGCCAAGAGACTCTCAAGACGTCCCAAGAGACCACCAAGAAGCGCCTAAGAGATATCACAAGAAGCTCCTAGAGGCATCCAAGAGACCTCTGGCCATGTTGCTTGCCCTCGTCCTGCTCCTCCTCCTCCTCCTCCTCCTCCTCCTACTCCTTCTCTTCCTACTGCCCCTCCTTCTCCTCCTCCTCCTCCTCCTCATCCTATTCAACCTCTTTCTCCCCAATCCCTTATCCATACATCCAGACTCTTCCTTCTCCTCCTCCCTCCTTCGCACGATTCGGCAGTCCCCCTCTTAGCTCCCGCACATCCCTGATCACCTCAACTCGCCTGGACATCGTTTCTGGATGGGCTGGTGGGGATACATTTTTCGTTCGCGAGCGCAAGCGGTACGGCTGCGCACCGTCGCAAGGGTGTCTGGTGGGGATGCGCGAAGCGTGTGAAAATGACGCTACGCTTGCGCACGGAACCACGCTCCCCGTAAACCACGCAATCGTCGCGTTCTCGAAACAAATAGCAGTTGGAAATTATACGGTGTTCGCGGCCTCGAGACTATAAACCGTCGTGACTTCGGTAAATTTTGAAGAAGTGAGGCCACAACCCCCTGCAGTGAAATTACGCACTGCCCGCGCCACCGCAAGCCACGCCCTTGATCACCATCAACATGATCAGCATCATCATCACCACCGTCCGCAGCAGCATGAACAACATTCTCCATTACCATCACCATTGGCTTCAGCATCATCAGCATCATCAACATCACCATCGGCGTCAACATCATAATGTCTTCAAGACGGCACCACGGCATCCTGAGATGGCTCTGATGCATCCCGTTATGATAGAAAAGGGGCTGGCGGCAAGGGGTGAAGCCCTTACGGATATCTATATATACACTTATACAGATATCCCTATATATATATATATATCATATGACTACATGCTTGCACACCTGTATAGCATGTTGTATATGTACGCCAGGGTGAATACATACAGATAGGCCCATAGCCCCCAAAGCAAACAGCTCCTTGGTGTGGCATGCAGGCTCCTCGCAATCCAAAATAGAAGCCTGTCCACAACCACGGCATTTGTCCTGGGCGTATTCTTGCTCACTCTCCCCCTCTGCCTCATGCACTCACGCGTGGGTACACGCGCGCGCACACGCACATGCACACACAAACACATCAAAGTGCACCCCCCCCTGTGCCAAGCGTGCCTGTACGCAAAGGGGTGTCACAACATCACGATACGTGGCTGCAGTCACAAACTTACGAATGAGTCCTCACGTGCGCTGATGCGTCGACTACCCAACATCATGCGAGTATTCCGCACCGCTGGCGTCCTTATCCTCCTCATGCTACTCCTCCTTATCGTCCATGTCCTCGCTCGTACGCTATCCTTCTCCGCGTTCTGGTCGTTCGTCGCGCTCCTCCTCATTCCTCCGCCTCGAGCACCGCTCCTCTGCATATACAACCTCCTCCTCCTCCTCCCCCTCCTCCTCCTGCTCCTCCTCCTCATCCTCCTCTTCCTCCTCCTCCTCCTCCTCCTGCTCCTCCTCCTCCTCCTCCTCCTCCTCCTCTTTCTCACTCCTGCACGCTCCTCCTGGCTACTCCTCACTCACATTTCCACGCGCCTCCTCGGCATCACTCCTCGTCCTCCTCTTCCTCCTCCTCCTGTTCATCCGCCTCCTCCTCCTCCTTCTCACTCCTACTCGCTCTGGTCGTCGCGTGTCTCCTCATTCTCTGCCTCACTCCCTCCCTCCTCTCTCCTCCTCCTCTCCCTCCTCCTCCTCCTCCTCCTCCTCCCCCTCCTCCTCCTCCTTCCTCTCCTCCTCCTCCTCCTTCCTCCTCCTCCCGCCTCCTCCACCAGCACGCTTGTGCGCCCCCCCCTCACACCCCCGCTGCGCTGCTCCCTCCCTTCTTCCCCGCCCCCCCCCCGGTTCCGCCCCCTGCTCGTCAGCAACCCACATTGCCTTTTTTATCCCTGGCCTCCGCTCCGTCTCGCTCCCCGTCTGTTCCGACTGTCGCTCTCCCCCTCGCAGCCGACCAGGATGAGAGTGATGATAACTTTGAAAGGGCCCTGGGACACACCAATAAAAAAAAAAACGAATAACAAGATGCCCTATGTTGTCCCATATTTTATGTTTTTTCTTCCCCCTCACCACCCATATTTGCCAACATGTTCGGGGACTCGACGATGAATTGTGTCTGTGTGTATGTGTGTGTGTGTGTTTTCCCGCCTCCTGGAATTTACCCAGAGGCGTACTGAATATCTGGCCCGCGTCGGGAAAGCGGACATCAATTTCATCTGGCACATGTGCTGGGTACTTCAGCAACAAACTCCAACTTCTGACCGCACAGCTCGAAGTAGAGTTTGTCCCGATGGCGGGGCGAGCACAAGACCCTGATTTCTTGCGGGCGTCCCTCAGTTGGGACCGCCGTCGCTGTGATGTGTGTTTGGGATCTCGTCGACCAACGCCGTCTACCCGGCCGTCTTGGAGCGTCTTGAGACACGTCCTGGGGCCTCGTGCGGGCCGCGTGGCGCATTTGGGCTCGCCTCGACTCGCCTTCGCGGCCTCTCCGGCGGCCGGTCCCGAAAGGGACTTTTTGAACCATCTTGCCGCCCAGGACATCCCCTGATCCGTCCAGGAGGGAAGGTCACTACCGAACCACCCCAACCCAACCCGAAGGCCTCAATTTGCCCTCCATTTCCAGTGAGGGGGGGGGGCGGGGAACACTGAAATTAGCCTGACGAGGGACCCAGCCATATGCAGGTGTGAGTACGGCGATAGTGATTCACTTTTTCGGTGGCGACTCCTATAAGGCAACGAATCGTGCTAGGGGTGTGCCGAAATGAGTGGCGTGGTACACGACGCGAACGAAAACTATTGACCAGAGTACGTAGGGAGACTGAGCGCGGGCGAATCTGAGCGCGAGTGCGTTTGACTGTGGATGAATCTGCGTGCGAGCGAGTCTACGTGCATTAATGCGAGTATGGCAAAGCATGGTGCGCTTGCATATGAATGTCAATAGTTTGAGAATGACTGCCTCGGAACACTCGTGACGCTGGGCGTGGCCGCCGCAAGGAGCTTCCCCGGGACTCCCCGACGGCATCGCCCGCGCGCCGCGACGCCAATGTCGGCGCGCCCCCCCGCGAGGATCGCGCCCGCTTCCTCCCCTTCTTTTACTCCCTCTTTGCCCGCGCACTCAAAAGTCCAAGGCTGCGGGCGCAGCGCAGACGCGCGCGGGTCGTCCGCTGCGCGGAGCAAAAAGAGCTAGCTGGCTGGCTGATAGCGGGCAAGGCTCTTGCCGCTGGGCAGAACGACGACGGGCGAGCGAGGCGCTGGGCAGAACGCAGCACGGAGTCCCTGCGACTCGCGCAGGTCGCCCCGGAGGGGTCCCAGCGACGCGCGCGGGTCGTCCGCTGCGCGGAGCAAAGAGAGCTAGCTTGTTGGCTGGGACCTTCGGTGGGGCTCCATATGGGGCCACGAAACGCTGTACTGGGTGAGGGAGACGCATGCGGACTGCGCCACGGGGACCTTCAGTGGAGTTCCCTATGGGGCCAAGAAACGTGTGAGGGGTGTGCCGAAATGACTAGCGGGGACGCGTGCGGACTGTGCCACTGGGACCTTCGGCGGAGCTCCTAAGGGGCTACGAAACGTGTGAGGGGTGCGCCGGAATGAATGGCGGGGACGTATGCGGACTATGCCACGGGGACCTTCGGCGGAACTCCTATGGAGCCACGAGACGTGTGAGGGGTGGGCCGAAATGATTGGCGGGGGCGCATGCGGACTGCGCCACGAGGACCTCCGGTGTTGTTCCCTATGGGGCCACGAAACGTGTGAGGGGTGTGCCGAAATGATTTGCGGGGACGCATGCGGGCTGTGCCACTGTGACCTTCGGCGGAGCTCCTATGGGGCCACGAAACGTGTGAGGGGTGTGCCGGAATCAATGGCGGGGACGCATGCGGACTGTGCCACGGGGACCTTCGGCTGAGCCCTTATGGGGCCACGAAACGTGTGAGGGGTGGGCCGAAATGAATGGCGTGGACGCATGCGGACTGTGCCACTGGGACCCTCGGCGGAGCCCCCTATGGGGCCACGAAACGTGTGAGGGGTGTGCCGAAATGAGTGGCGGGCACGCGTGCGGGCTGTGCCACTGGGACCTTCGGCGGAGCTCCTCTGGGGCCACGAAACGTGTGAGGGGTGTGCCGAAATGGGTGCGCGGGACGCATGCGGGTACACCTACCTGGACCTTCGGTGGAGCTCCCCATGGGGCCACGAAACGTGTGAGGGGTGTGCCGAAATGGGTGTGTGGGACGCATGCGGGCACACCCACTGGGACCTTCGGTGGAGCCCCCTATGGGGCCACGAAACGTGTGAGGGGTGTGCCGAAATGGGCATGCGGGACGCATGCGGGCACACCCACTGGGACCTTCGGCGGAGCTCTCTATGGGGCCACGAAGCGTGTGAGGGGTGTGCCGAAATGGGTGTGCGGGACGCATGCGGGCACACCCACTGGAACCTTCGGCGGAGCCCCCTATGGGGCCACGAAACGTGTGAGGGGTGTGCCGAAATGGGTGATGACGACGATGATGATGATGATGATGATGATTTTTTTTTATATATAATTAGCCGACGAAGGACCCAACCATATGCAGTTGTTAATGCCGTCGTTGTTAATATCGCCTTCGGTGGATCTCTCTATGGGGTCACGAAGCGTGTGGAGGGCGTGCCGAAATAAGGAAGTGACGCAGTGCGTGCGCTGTCACTGGGGTATGCGGTGAAGCCCCCTATGGGGCCAAGGAACGTGCGTGGGGCGACCCCCCCTCCCCCCCCTCCCATGGGGCCACGGAGCGTGCGAGGTCCAGAAAAGGTCCGGAGGAGGTCTGGAGGGAGCGCGTGGAGAAAGGAAGGAAGGAGGAGGGAGGAGGAGGACGACGGCGGCGGCGGCGGCGGCGACGGCGACGACGGCGACGGCGACGGGCGACGGCGGCGGCGGCGACGGCAGCGGCGGCTGCGGCTGCGGCGACGGCGGCGGCGACGACGACGACGACGGAGGAGGAGGAGGAGGAGGAGGACGACGACGACGACGACGACCTTTCTTTCTCGCCCGACGCGCCAGCGGCGGGCGTCAGTCAACCCCCGCGACGCGCGCAGGGCGCCCCGAAGTGGTCGCAGTGACGCGCGCGCTTCGTCCGCTGAGCGGATCAGATAGCGCTTGCTGGCTAACTCATAGCGCGCATGGCTCTGGCCGCTGGGCGGAGCGACGAGGGGCGAGCGAGGCGCTGGGCAGAGCGCAGCGCGGAGTTCGGGCGACGTGCGCTGATCGCCCCGAGAGGGTCCCAGCGACGTGCGCGGGGCGTCCGCGGCGCGAGGCCAAACAGTTGGACAGCCGAGAGAAGGCGCGGCTGTGGCGGGCCGCTCCTCAGATCAGGCGTCGCGGATAAACTCGGTGAAGCCAAGCTCCCTGGCGAGGGCCGTGGCTTCCCTCCTGCACCGCTTCGTGCGCGCGGCAAACTGCTCCAGCTGCTTACGCAAGCCCTCCGGCGGCCCGGCCAGGAAGAACTCGATGCGCGGCGCCCGCATGAGCAGGAGGTCCTCGTGGCGCGTGGCGCGCGAGAGCAGCACGTAGAGCTCCAGCCACCAGTCGTCGTCCTCCTTCTTGCCGTTCCCGACCTCGTGGCGACCGCAGTCCAGGATCACGCCTGGGCGATGTCGGCCGAGGGAGCGGTGCGCCAGGCAGCCGACGGCCCAGGGCAGCGAGAGTCCACCGGACCGAGGGGACCTTCGGTGGAGCTCCCTATGGGGCCACGACACGTGTGAGGGATGTGCCGACATGGGTGTGCGGGACGCATGCGGGCACACCCACTGAGACCTTCGGTGGAGCTCCCTATGGGGCCACGAAACGTGTGAGGGGTGTGCCGAAATGGGTGTGCGGGACGCATGCGGGCACACCCACTGGACCTTCGGTGGGGCTACCTATGGGGCCACGAAACGTGTGAGGAGTGTGCCGAAATGAGTGTGCGGGACGCATGCGGGCACACACACTGGGACCTTCGGTGGAGCTCCCTATGGGGCCACGAAACGTGTGA